TTTTGAAGTGTAGATCAAATAAATGACGTTGTCCTTTTTTACCCTTCCTCCACAGGACTTCATAAGGCAGTTACAGAACCACTGAAATCTTTGTATTTTATGTCTTCCTTCTCAGAGCTGTTTGACTTAATTCAAATTTAAACCAAATGAAACGTATCTTGTACTTGCAGGCTACTGCTATAATGTGCATTGCAATAACTGAAAAACCCAGATGCCATTCAGAAACCCAAACAAATCTGGGCCTTCTCCTAAATTTAGCAAATGTCCATCACTATTAAAAACCATAATGACAAAACGTCTTATCTCCTCATATTGTAATTTGATTCTTGCCATCTTCAGCTATCAGGGTCACCAGGGCAAGGGCTTGTTCAGTGTGGTGAAACACAATGGCATTTGTCCATAAGTCTGTCCAGAAAGAAAGTGTGAAACCTTGTATTTCCTGACGTATTTAAACCTTAAGCAACTTTCTTATGAAGAACTGGATGTCAACAGAGAGTATTAATATAGTGGCCTCACTTTAAATTAATGCACAAATCACAGCATTTAATGCAGTGCTAGCAGCAGATATGGGCAGCATCTTATCATGTGTAATGATAAAGCATTTAATAATCATCATTTTACTGAAATCTTCCTTTGAATAAGGCATTGCTTGGCAGCCGTTTTTCCTTCTCAAACTGTTCACAGTGTGACACTTTAAATGGAAAAAGAAATATCACCTGGTGTACTTATTAGCTTAACAAGCACTTGCCTGGGAGCCTGGGAAGACCCACTGTGTTTTACTCCCTCCTAAGTGGTTTAACTCCAGAACTTAATACCATTCTTTTACTCAAGGGCCTGGAGTAGTCTGCCACTAGGGGATGCTCTTGCTTCTTCACTCCAGCTCCCGGCCGGTTCAATTCTGACCTTATCCGCCTCAATACGAGAGGAAAAAGGAGGCTTTTACTCTTCCCCAGTGAATCTGTTCCTCTGAAACCCCCAGAGTCAGCTAAATCGGTTAGAACAATTCAGAACAAAATGAAATGAATAGTAAATGAAATAGCTTTGTTAAAATGTTTTCAAATATCTCCCTGTGGTGGACCAGAATTGCTTCCTGCTATCGGGAGCCTAATAGTTTCATTAGGGTTTGGGGATGTTAACAGCATTTGAGTGCTACCAAAGGAGGTGAGGGCAAATGGGGAGGAGCTGGTGTCGCAGGAGATGAGGAGAGGGCTCTGCCCTTCCTGGTCCTTCCCCAGTCTGGCAGAAATCTGCTTTACCCATCTACTGATTTAGCTTTGGCTCAGACACCATTTGCCAAAGCATGCCTCTATACCAGTTTTGGAGGCTGTTAGAAATAAAAGTCCTGACGGTGGGGGCGGGGGAGGGGGTGGCGATGTCACATGAACTTGAGGAATTGTGGATTGAAAAAGTCAAAAAAGTTTTACTTGTTACAGAGCTTTCAGAGCATTTAATTTACAATGCACTGTGCTTTGCAAATCTCAGTCTGGGCACTTGCTGGGAGTCATTGTTGACTGGGCTCTCCGTCTTGAAATTCTCCGGAATTGGCTTGATGTTGCATTGTTTTGGTTTATCTCCTTTTGTAACCTCTCCTTTTTGGCATTTTTCTTTTTACCCCGTGAATAGGGGCATTCCTTGTGGTTTGACGGTTCATTATGTTCAGTCTCTTGAGGAGTCACTGAAGTCCATGATTTTAGTTATGTACCTCTATGCTAGCGGCTCCACCCATGTCCCCCGGCAAGAGACACAGGTGAAGCCTGTCTCTTCCCAAAGAGACCTACATTTTCAGTTATATGTTGGATGCTTTCCCAAAGTAAAAATGTCCCCTCTCCAAAACAATGTTTTCCTTTTTGACTATTTCCTTCCTCCTTTACATTTTTCTTAAAATTCTTTCAATTCTTTGAGTCAATCAGACTTAAAACCACATTTAACCACTAAACCTTGTGAATTCTTCTGGCTCTTTTGTCTATGCCCCCCTCACCTTTTTGTTTGTTTGTTTGTTTTTTTGAGATACAGTCTTGCTCTATTGCCCAGGCTGGAGTACAGTGGAACCATTTTGGCTCACTGCAACCTCTGCCTCCCGGGTTCAAGTAATTCTCCTTCGTCAGCCTCCCAAGTAGCTGGAATTTCAGGTGCCTGTCACCACATCTCACTAATTTTTTATTTTTAGTAGAGACAAGGTTTCACCATGTTGGCTAGGCTGTTCTTGAACTCCTGACGTCAGGTGATCCACCCATGTCGGCCTCCCAAACTGCTGGGATTACAGGTGTGAGCCACAAAGCCTGGCCCCTTCTTTTTTTGTTGTTTCTGATTTTGTTTTTGAGAAATGGCCTTGATCTGTCACCCAGGCTGGAGTGCAATGATGTGATCACAGCTCACTGCAGCTTCAACCTTCCGGGCTACAGTGATCCTTCCATCTCAGCTTTCTGAGTATCTGGGACTACAGGCATGTGCCATCACGGCCAGCTAGTTTTGTATTTTTTGTAGAGACAGCTGTGTCTATCCCTTCTTAAATGAGGCCTTGATCCCCTTGTATAAACTCTGAAATAAATTCCAAGTCATGCTTCCTGCTTCCCTTCCTTCGCTATTCTATGTAGGCTGCACACAGCTACTGTTTTAATCAATCTAAAACACTGCTTTGATTCTTTCTTAAAAACTTCCAGTGGGTGAGTTCTCAGTGACTCATTGTGTGAATAAAGTCCATACAACTTATGCCAGCAGTCAAACTTCCCACAGTATTGCTCCCAACTGCATTTAAAGCCTTTGTGCTAATGGTTCCTCCATTAAAATTGCAGACAGAAAAAATGCTCTTGTGACATTACAGATGTGAAGGTAGGAGTGTGCAAGGCATTTGGGGAAAGGAAGTTTCTGTAAACTTTTCAGAATGGAGTACTTTATGAGATACATGAGCTGAACAATTCAAGTTCTAAATTACTATAGATATATCTAAATCATCCTCTAGATTAAGGATATTCTATAAATAGGCTAATGTGGTCCTTTATAGCATATAAGGAATAAGAACAAGGAAGGATATAGCTTAAGGCTTCTACCTGTCAAAGCTGATAGCTTATCATACTACACATTTTAGAAAATATTGGTCAAATTCAGAATGAACAAAGTAATACATGGACGCTTATGTAAATACAAAGCGACTGTAGCAGATGCTGCTGGTATTCATTCCGTCATCTCTCACCTCTACATGATAAAGGTAAACACCTGCAAATATTGCAAATGCCTACAATTCCCTATTGAAAACCTTTTATTTATGGCTGCAGGTGTGTGCTTAGCTTGCCCCCAGGGTGCACTGATAGTGCCAGAGAGTCAATGGGTTCAGAAGCTACCTTCATCAATGATGGGTTTTCTTACTCCTTAATTGAACTAACTGTTTTTTTGTTTTTTGTTTTTTGAGACAGGGTCTTTGTTTTTTGGGCTGGAGTGCAGTGGTATGATTTCAGCTCACTGCAACCTTTGCCTCCTGGGTTCAAGCGATTCTCCTGCCTCAGCCTCCCGAGTGGCTGGGACTACAGGCGTGTGCCATCATACCCGGCTAATTTTTGTATTTTTAGTAGAGACGGGGTTTCACTATATTGGCCAGGCTAGTCTCAAACTTCTGATCTCATGATCCACCCACCTCGGCTCTCCAAAGTGCTAGGATTGCGAGCATGAGCCACCGTGCCCAGCTTGGCTACAGTTTTGTTTGCACTGTTGGACCAGATATTCTGACACTAGCTGCTAGTACATTATGAGTGAGGTAGAATAGTGTTAAGTGAGAAATAAAATTTGAGTTAAGAATAATTTTATAACATTCCATTAGTGAAGATTTTTTAATTTTCTAGACTTTTTCTTCCTATAGCCAAAGCACTGGAATATGGAGACAACCCCTATCGTCCCCTCATAAATTAATGGTGGTTTCCAGAGACAAAGCATCTGCATCTTTTGTTCGAAACTTTAGTGATTTCTGTGGAAGAAATTTTGTCACAAAGACCCTGACTCCTGAAATATTTTTTTATTCGGCTCCAACTGCATAAATCGCAGATGCCATAGACTCAGCTTAAATTCTCAATATGCAATGCCATGTTTAGCAGCTGTCTTAGTTTGGATTTCCCCAGAAGTAGATTCAGAGACAAAAATTCAATTGCAAGTAGTTTGATTTTGTTGTAAGAGATAATCTTAGCACTGCTGAAGGTAGGAAAGTGAGATTGGAAAGAAAAGAAAGTCAATCAAGGGCACTTTATCAAGCAAGAGACTACAGTGGGCAATTTGGGTTCAGTTCTAATGAGGAACTCTGAAAGACATTGCGGACCAGCTCTGCAATTGAGAGTTAGTTCAGCTGGGCATGGTGGCTACAAAACAAAACAAAAACCAGAAAAACTAGCTCATCTTGAATAGGAAATCTAAAATCTTGCAAAAAATGCAGCATTCTATCAAATGTATGAAAGTGATGTTGGGACCTACTAGAATTAATACAAAGCTATGGACAAATGAAGACCTGATAGAATAAGGCAAGACCAAAAGCGAAGGAGAGAAATTGGATGTGGATGATGACCTTGAGAAGAACTTAACACAGTGATCTGATTATCAAAGGATTCCATGAACTTCTTGAGAAAATTAGTGATGTCCTCAAATACATTTGCAGTAATTGATGCTCTTTGTGATTATTCCGTGAAAGTTAAGCATGAAGAGATGAATATTGGGTTGTGTTAGGTTGTACTTTGGGGAAAAATTCTGCTCCAGAAAATTCCATTTACATTTTGAGTGACAGAACTGCATTTAGATATTTTCTCTCACAAAATATTTAATCTCAAAGTCTGGTGTATAATACCCTTTGAGAGAATCATGAAAACATCTACTTAGTTTAGTAGACTGAAACAAGAAGGAGGCTCATCCCTTGCCTTACACAGAGTTTCCTTTGGTTGAAAATCACTTGAACGTTGAACTGAGCACATTTTCTGTGTTTCTTGATTTATAGATATGTTTTTGAGAAACATATCTATAACTTCCAAACAGTCCCAGCCGGCTGTAGCTAAGGCCTGTGTAATTGATAAGATGCATCTGGCTTCAAGGCACAGATTAAGTACAAGGGCAGGCTCTTGCTGTAGTTGGAGAATCTGGTTGGATAGGAGCTAAATCCCGGGACCACTTGCTCTATATATATGAGTGCCAAGATAATCTAGAGCAGGAAGAGGCAGAGAGGCAGGCACCCTGCCTGGCTCTTCCTGCTGCTGAAAACTTACCCGGCCCTTACAGTGGAAAATTTCATCCTTTCTTCTTCCCTGACTGTTTTCCCAAACATGAAGGTAAGACAATAATTTCATTACTTTTGTAAATGAAGCTATCTTTTCAAATGAATGGGGGTAATATAAATGTAATTTAAATGAAGATGGGTAATACTTAACTGAAAGACATCAAATAAGTAGAAGACCAGAGGAAAAATACAGAAGGAAAAGGCCTGGGGGTGATTTTTAGAAAATCCTTATTTAAACATATTTAACAGTTTAGCCAAGGTGAATTCCTTTATCTTATCTTGGGATTACATTATAGGTCCAGAGGTCTGGGAATCAGGAATTGGAGATAATGTTTATGAAAGTCTTGAGAAAGTTGTAAAGAAGTACAATAGTACTATTGTTATTTCTTGGGAAAAACTTTCCTCTGATGAATTTTTTTTTCTTTTGCTTGTTTGGATTTGGAATCATGTAATAAGCTCCTGTGATTTATCTAAGAGCTAACAGAAAAGCAAATTTGCAGACTTGGAACTTAAGAATTTGAAATCCTAGATGAAAGAGTCAGGACTGTGAGAAGATACGAGTAGGTGAAATAAAAGTAAAAGTTTACCAAGTATACATGTTGGCCCAATGCAAAAAGGCCAAATGGTAAAAAACAAAACAAAACAACCAAAAAGCTATTCAACTAAAGATAAGACCAAAGACAGAGATCACTATCATAGACTAAATCTCTGGAATGCAAAAATAAGTTGAGATTGCTGTTTAAATTTTATTATTGTAAATTTTGGTATTTAAACTTCAAAAACATTGCATTGTAAGACTATAGGAATAATTTCACAGCTCTATCAGTAGCTGGATCACATCCACAGTCACTGTGTTGTCCATTTCAGCACCGAATCCAGGCTCACTCATCATGGGGTTGGAGTAGAAGCAAGATAGAGGCTTTGATTAGCCTGCGCATTTTGTGAAATTAAATAATTAAAAATTAAACACAAATCACAAAATTGTTTAAAATTATGATGTGCAGTCATAAAAAAGAACGAAATCACGTCTTTGCAGCAACATGGATGCAGCTAGAGGTCATTATCCTAAGAAAGTTAATGCAGGAACAGACAACCAAATACCACATGTTCTTACTTTTAAGTGGGAGCTAAATATTGGGTACTCATGGATATAAAGATGGCAACACTAGACAATGGAAACTACTAGACGGGCGGAGGGAGGGAGGAAAGCAAGGTTTGAAAAACTATTGGATACTATACTCACTACTTGGCTGATGGGATCAATCATACCCCAAACCTCAGTATCACACAATACACCCAGGTAACAAACCTGTACATGTACCCCCTGAATCTAAAATAAAAGTTGAAATTATTTGAAGAATTAAAAATTAAGTCATGATGCCAAAACAAGTAACCTTACAATATTAGAATTATGATGTAATCTAGTATCTACTACTCTGCTTTGTATTTTTACTTAAAAATCTAGAACATTTGTTAGCTCAAAAAGAATATGATGTTTAGCCAGGTGCGGTGGCTCACATCTGTAATCCCAGCACTTTGGGAGGCTGATTCCGGTGGATCACCTGAGGTCAGGAGTTCAAGATCAGCCTGGCCAACATGATGAAATCCTGTCTCTACTAAAAATACAAGAATTAGCCGGGCATGGTTGTGGGTGCCTAATCCCAGCTACTCAGGAGGCTGAGGCAGAAGAATTGCTTGAAGCAGGGAGGTGGAGTTTGCAGTTAGCCGAGATCATGCCACTGCACTCTAGCCAGGACAATAGGGTGAGATTCTGTCTCAAAAAAAAAAAAAGCAAAAAAGAATATGATGTTCTTCCTAATCTAGCTAAAATATTTTTCCCTAATATTTGTGTTAACTGTCAATCTGCGAATTTATTTTACAATGAGACATCTTAATAATTTTAATAATTGCTTTGTACTTAAAAATGTGTTCACAATCATTGATTATTATAACATTTTACTGTTGTAATAATAAATATACTTTTATCCTTCAGTTGGTTGACAAAATAGCAACAAATAAAGCAATTGATTTTTTTAAAAACATTACATATAGGGGCTTTCTAGCAAAAATTGGAAAGCCTGCTAGACAAGTTTTAAAAGAGCTGTAACACTGCAGCAATTATTTCACTCCAAGTTGCATGCAGAGTTCTTACCTGTATTTGAAAGTGGATATTCATATTTTTACAGTAAACTTGAAGGACATGCTTTGGTGACGTGTGTCAAAGAAGGGATACTTGTGAAAGCCCTGGGCTATCGAGACACTAGAAATGGTTTCTATGTCAGACCTTTTAAGAGGGAGCAGTATTTTGGCTCCACAACCCCCATGTGAACTAAATTCAGAGAGACAGTCACAGGATTCCCTTTGGTTCTCTCTGTGTTCTTGGATAGGAGATAACTTGGATCTGAGGTGTTTGAGAAGGATGTCAGGGCCAAGGGACTTCCCTCTGAGCTGGCTGTGGGTCAGCCATTTGCTCTGTCTGTCGAGCACTGAGCTGAGCCTGGCATCTTTGAATCTAGGGAATGGTCACCACAGTGCACAAGCACAGTGATGGTCAATCACAGTAATGTCTCAAATCAGAATTGTAGCTGGGACATATTAGAAGAAGGAGGTAGAGCCAATGCTCATTCAGTGATGAAACAGAGAAGATAATTCAGGGAATGTAGTTCCAGCTTAGCTACATTGACACAGAACAAAAATACCATACACCTTTTCTATTTTTTTTTTTTTTTTGAGATGAAGTTTCACTCTGTCGCCCAGGCTGGAGTGCAGTGGCACAATCTTGGCTCACTGCAACCTTTGCTTCCTGGGTTCAAGCAATTCTCCTGCCTCAGCCTCCCGAGTAGCTGGGACTACAGGTGTGCACCACCATGCCCAGCTAATTTTTGTATTTTTTTAGTAGAGACAGGGTTTCACCATATTGGCTAGGCTGGTCTTGAACTCCTGACCTCATGATCCGCCCATGTCAGCTTCCCAAAGTGCTGGGATTACAGGTGTGAGCCACCATGCCTGGCCCCATACACCTTTTCAACCAAGCAATTCTTTTATAGAGTCAGTTCAGATGTATGTCTATCTCTGTCATTCATGTGATTTATTTGTGTTTGTTCTGTCTCTCTTGTTCATTTATAAGGTGTTCTTTCCAAAGGTAAGGAAGAGTAACTGCTTCCTTTTCAGAGATCAAGCTAGCAAAGTTTCAAGGAATGCTTTTGGTTAGTACATTCACTTTGTATAACTCATGAACAGAACTGGTCTTGTAATAAGCAGACACTGGTGGGTTATAATAAGGAGTATGTATACAAAGAAGGTGATGACAAAAGCATCCATGATGATAAAAAGCATATTTCCTAAAATTTCATTGAAATTCTTTATTTTAAAAAATACTTTTAAATTTGAGACAAGATCTTGCAACAGCCCTGGCTGGAGTGTAGTGGTGCAATTATGGCTCACTGCAGCCTCTACATCCTGGGCTCCCACCTTAGTTTTCCAAATATCTGGGACTACAGGTGCCTGCCATCAGGCCTGGCTAATTTTTGTAATTTTTGTAGAGACGAGGTCCCACTATGTTGCTCAGGCTGACCTCAAACACCTGGGCTCAAGTGATCCTCCCACCCCATCCTCCCAAAATGCCAGGATTACAGGCATGAGCCACCACACCAGGGTGAAATAATTTTAAAACACACGTGACAGAATGTTAGAGACAATTATTTTCAGTATCCCTATTTTGGCTGAGAGTTAATCCAAGAATAAGTACTCAAGATTTTTTGAAATTTTATTCATTTAGTTATTTTATTTGTATATATTTAAGGAGTACAAACGCAATTTTGTTACATGGATATACTGGGCAGCATTGAAGTCTGGGCTTTCAGTGTATCTATCTCCCAAATAATGTACATTGTACCCATTAAGTAATTTCTCATCACTCTTTCTCTTTCTATCCCCAACTCTTCTGAGTCTCCAATGTCTATTATTCCATATATTTTGTCCATGTGTACACGTCATTTAGCTGCTACTTATAAGTGAGAATATGTGGTACTTGGTTTTAGGTTTCTGTGTTGTTTCGCTTAATATAACGACCTCCAGTTCCATCCATGCTGTTGCAAAAGACATGGTTTCATTCTTTTAAAAAAAACGGAATAGTATTTCATTGTGTATATACCATGTATTCTTTTTTTTTTTTTGAGACGAACTTTCAATCTTGTTACCCAGGCTGGAGTGCAATGGCGCGATCTCGGCTCACCGCAACCTCCACCTCCTGGGTTCAGGCAATTCTCCTGCCTCAGCCTCCTGAGCAGCTGGGATTACAGGCATGCGCCACCATGCCCAGCTAATTTTTTGAATTTTTAGTAGAGACGGGGTTTCACCATGTTGACCAGGATGGTCTCGATCTCTCAACCTCGTGATCCACCAATGGACACTTAGGTTGCTTCCACATCTTTGCTATTGTGAATATAGCTGAGATAAACATATGAATAAAGGTATCTTTTTGATATAGTTATTTCTTTTCTTTTGGTAGATACCCAGTAGTGGGATTGCCAGATCTGGTGGTAGTTCAATTTTTACTTCTTTGAAACATCTCCATACTGCTTTTTATGAAGGTTGTACTAAGTTACATTCCCTATTCCCACTTATCTCTGCATTCCTACCAACATCTGTTATTTTTTGATGTTTTTAAAGAGAGATGGAGTCTTGCTCTGTTATTCAGGATGGAGAATAGTGATGCAATCATAGCTCACTGCACCCTTGAATTCCAGGCACAGAACATGATCCTTGGCATGTGCCTATAATGCACAGAACATGGCATGTGCCACCATGCCCAAATAATTTTTTAAGAATTATTTTTTGTAGAGACAGAGTCTTACCATATTGCCTAGGCTGATCTCAAACTCTTGGCTTTAAGGAATCCTTCTGCTTGGCCTCCCAAAGTGTTTGGACAGGGGTGAGCCATCACATTCAGCCAATTTTTTTTTAACTTTTTAATAGTAGCCATTCTGACTGTGTAGGATGATATCTCCTCGTGGTTTTAATTTAATTCTCTGATGATTAGTGATGTTGAGC